TGTGTGTGTGTGTGTGTGTGTGTGGCCAGCTCAGCCCACCAGGGGGCGGGGCTGGCTGGCATGTGGTGCTGGGGGATTGAACCGTGGTCTCTGTGCTTTGCTAAGCTTGTTCTAAGTAGGTGCTTTAGATCACTGAGTCATTTCACCAGCCCCCCTGCCTTATTTTTTTTTCACTGTGAGTTTGAATCAAGGGCCTTTACCAAAAACTACATTTTCAATCCATTTTTTATTTAGCTTTGAAACAGGGTCCCCCTAAGTTAACTAGGCTGTTGAATTTTGATCCTCCTGCCTTAGCCTTCCAGAATAGTGGGGTTACAGACCTGGGCCACCACACCCAGTGTGGCTAGTGCTTAGCTGATATTATTTAAATAAGCTACTCCATTTCAAAGACAAGCTTCAGGGACTAGGGGGTCCAGTTCTTGCTCCTGAGCAGACACCCACATCCCAAAGAAGACAGACCTAGAGCATCCCCAACTGGGGAAGGCTGGCTGGTGCCTGTGGCTGTGCTTCCCTGGCTCCACCTCCCTCTGCCCACACAAACTGCCCAGAAAGTGGCCAGGGGAGCCAGCAGGGCCACATAGGGTGGGCATAGTGCTCAGCTGTTCTGGGAGGTCAGGAAAGAAAAAGGGCCAGCAGCAGCCAGCCAGGAAGGGCAAGGTAAATGCATGAGCACACAGGCTCCCTCACACACACTTAACTCATCCACACTCACATGCAAACATACACATGAGTTCTTAGAGTCTTCCATACATTCATACATCGCTCAGTGAATGACAGAGTCAGGGAGACCCTAAGACAGACACAGAAGTATGAGAAGACAGACAGACAGACTGACAGACACACACACACACACACACACACACACACACACAAAGAAGTAAAGTACACAGCCCAGTGCTGTCAGAGAAAAACTGCAATGGAATTACAGAGGGTCCTGGATGAAATGGCCAGAGGGCTCGAAGCCGACAGCAGCCCACCCCCGTGCAGGTCAGAGCTGCTTGGCATTCAGCAGTGAGATGGATGACAGCTGCCATTTGGCTTGCTCTGTGATTTGTCAACCATTGTGCTTACCCCTGCCCCCTTTCTCCCTGGAAAGAGAGAGGCTATGTTGCTCAGTTGGCTTCTATCTCCTGGGCTCAAGGGATCTTCCTGCCTCAGCCGCCTGAGCATCTGGTACTATAGATTTGTGCCCTCTACCCAGCTTGCCAATCATTTTGGTCACATTCATCTGCTTGAGAATGCTCCTGTCAGAGGTTAGTGCTACGATCTAGCACCACAAGGACACTGAGGCTCACTATCCCTGGTCCCCAGCCAGCATGAAGGCCATTGCACAGGATGAGTACCAGCTCTTCCCATCTCTCCTCCTGCCTCTCTGCTCCAAACCTCTGGTGTGGGACAGTCAGATCACTCCCGGCCATACCCTCTCAGCCCTCCTTACTCCTCCTGTCTTCACAGCATGTACCCCTGGGTTCTCTCATTTCCTGCCCTGGGCCCACTGCTCAGCCTCCCTCCCACACGCTACAGCCAGGGAGTGACCACACCAGCTGGTCACCTGCAACCAACAGGGGAGGGCAGCAGACAGAGGAATGCGCCCCTCTTCTAGCTCAGTGGAAGTCCTGAGATGTCTTTAGCACAACTCCTTGGAGGGTCCCTGCAGAATTGAGCCCCTCACCCTCAGCTCTGCCCGTCTCTGCTCCAACCTCAATTCCTTGGCTCTCATTCGTCTGTTTTGTGCTTCCTGGGCCCCACTCCTTTCCTGGAATCAGCTCTCTAGTGCAACCAGCTGTGCAGGGCCTGGTCTCAGCTCTGCCTTCTGGCCCCAAGCAGGGCCCTCCTGTGTTGGCACCAGGGGAGCCAATGCTCTTCTCCCTCCCCTTCCTTGTCCTTTGGGACTCCAAAGTCTGGTCTGATCTATTGTTTGCTGGATTCAGGAGCCACTGAGTTCCCTAGGGGTCCAAACCACACTTGTTTATCCAATAACAGTTCATTCTCAGTAATCATCTCTAACCTTGAAACAAACAAAAAAGGTGCAGAAGCTGGGATAGGGTAGAGGTGAGGACCTTCAAGCATTTGTGTTTCCAGCTATCACAGGAGACCCTTCAGGGTCCCTGTTTTCCTGTGTGTAGGTGTTTATACATGGGGATATGCATTTCTTTTCTTTCTTTCTTTTCTTTTTTTTTTTTTTTGGCAGTATGGGGGATTGAACTCAGGGCCTTGCCAGGCAAGCACTTATTCTAGTGAGCTATCTCCCTGGCCCCTGGGATGTATATTTCAAAGACAGATTTACTTTATCTTTTTTTTTTGCAGAACAAGGGATTGAACTCAGGCCCAGGGAAGCACTTATTCCAATGAGTCATCTCCCCAGCCCTACTTTATCTTTTGATTAGAAAAACAAGGACTGGTTTAGGAAGATAGCTCTGTGGTCTGTCTGCCTGGCAAGCCTAAGGTCCTGAGTTTGATCACCAGTACCACATTCTGTGCTGCGTGGTGGTGCATGCCTGTAATCCTAGCGCTGGGGAGGCTGAGGCAGGAGGATCACTATGAGTCCGAGCTGCACAGCAACACCCTGTACCAAATAAATAAATGTAAAAGGAAATTAAAAGAAAATTATAAATGTGAACATTTAAAAATGAAATATGCTTTATTTAAATGTGTTCAATAAAATGTAAATATTTTTAAAAAAGAAAAGAAAAAAAAAGCCTGCTTTCCATGTTATAGCTTTCCACTGTGGAAAGCTTAGAAACCAAAAGCAAAGTGCTCTCACAGTCTTACCCTTTTCTCTGTTGTTGTTGTTTTGGCAGAACCGGGGATAGAACTCAGGCCCTTGTGCTTGCCAGGGAAGTGCTTATTCCACTGAGCCATCTTCCTCACCGTTTTCTCTTGAGGGTTTTTTTTTTTTTTTTTTGGTGGTGCTGGGAGTTGAACCTAGAACACTGAATAGTAAATGAGCTGTCACTGATTACTTTTAATTTTCTTTGTACCAGGCCATTTTCCCCATCAGAGAATGAGCCCATTTGGTTCCTTCAGGGAGAGCCAGTGCCCATTTCTTTTTAGGGAGTTCATCCATTCATTCATTGACAATATTTTGAAAATCTATTAGGTGCCAGGAAGTTTTCGGATCTCCTGGCAGGAGGACTCTGAGCAGCTAATC